GGGGGGGGGGGGCCAGGAGAGGAAGGCAAAGCAGGATAAGGAGGGACAGCCGAAGGAGCAGCAGTCCCCGCCTCCTGCTCCTGCTCCTGCTCCTGCTCCTCTTCCTCCTTCTCCTGTTCCTGCTCCTCCTTCTCCTCCCTCCTCCCCTCCTTCCCTCCCTCTTTTCCTCCCTCTTCCCTCCCTCCCCGCCCACAAACCTCTGAGACCCCCCCCGAAACATCCGAGGACCTCCGAAACCACCGAGAACAGGTCCGAGGGCCCCCCGCCAAACACCCCTGAACGATACAAGACGGACCTCCTACCCCCCCCCCCCTCCCTCCCGCAAAGTCGCCACGGACCTCCAAGACCCTCCCCCCCCAAAACAAAAAAAAAATGCCCCCCGCAAAAACCTGCAAAAACAGGCGACATGGCCCAGAGAGGCGCTCGAAGAACCCCCCCCCCCAAACCCAGACCCCCGACGTCGTGATTTCTTCATGACGTCGACCCCCAGAGGTCTGGACCCTTTCCCAGGGACCGGTTTTTCATCCCGCCCCTGGATCTGGAGAGGGGCCAAACCGCTCAACCCGGAGCAGGCGAAATCTGCAGATTAGTGAAATGTGTTAATTATGGCGTTGAATGTCTCGTCGTCTCGGGTCCCTCTGGGGGCTGCATCAAATCCACAGATTGCCATATTCTGTTGATTCGGGACGTGTGCCCGACGCACTGAAAATCCACATATTGCAAATTAATCTGCGTACGTGAAACGGGGCCACGGGATGCGAATCGCCAGGGGGGCGGCTATCATCCACACATTGAAGGACATTCTGTGGATCCACGACGGAGTCCCCATCTACAGATTAACAGAAATCCTGTGGATTTACGACGCGTACACGACGCAGGCCTGATCCACAGAATTTCAGAATCCGTGGATTTGGAACAGGTCGGGGCCTGAGGGGAAGCGAATGACGAGGGCGCCCACAACGCTCAGAATGGCATAATCTGCGTCCAAAATGGCGCCTGCTTTGCGGCTCTCCAGAGTGGCAGGATTTCAGGCCCCCACCGGCATCCAACTTTTGGACGGCCCCGAGGCCCGGTGAGGACCTCCAGAGGGCGAGAATAGCGAAAAACCTCCCGTCCTGACTTCTTCACGACGCGCGGGGGCCTGGGAACCCAGACCCCCGACGTAATGACTTTTTCACTACGTCGACCCCAGAGTTCTCGACCCCTGCTCCAGGACCGGCTCGTCGTCCTGAGTCGTTTTTTGACGCTCCCGAGGCCCGGGGAGGGTCCCCAGAGGCCGAAAATGGCGAAAAGCCTCCCCTCGTGATTTTTTTCACGACGCCAGGAGGTCTGGGCTAGGAGGAGGAGGAGGAGGAGGAGGAGGAGGAGGAGGAG